CAACAGGAACTGGCAGTGCAGAGACACTATTGGGAGCCGGTTTCTCTGAGGGCTAAAGGCTTTGGAAGTAGCCCAGGCACCTGGGCAAAGCACTTGAGGGTGAGGAATGGGCCTTTCAACGTCATCCTGGGTCCTCCCGGAGATAGGAGTCTGTTTGGCTGCATTAACAAAGGGCTGGAGAACGGTAGGGACTCCAGTGAAATGCCACGCGTGGAGCACTGATGCACCCCGTCCGGTCCCCCTTATCTCAGTGTTTGTGCAGTGCCCTCTGTGCCCATAGCACTTTCCAGGCCAGCTGGAAAAGGCCCAGGTTAATCCTAGGGGTGGGCCGTCGCTGCTGGATGTGGTGCTCGCTGCCGGGCGTCGTGTCGGCCATGGGTCGCGAGAGTCAGGCAAAGGGAGAGCCGGGGGCGATGGACGGAGCGTTGGGGGGCGGGGAGAGAGGATGCTAGGAAAGGAGGAATGGGAGACGCATTGTTCTGCAGCTTCCCTTGACCGCTCCTGGGGTTGAGAGTTCGGGGTGGCTGGAGACATAGGCAGGGGCGACTAGGCAGGGTTATCGTCAGCTCTGTTGATTCATCGTCCTCGTTACTGATAATGTCTCCATCTCCTGCTGGGAGCTCTATGGAGTAAAAGGGAAAGGCTGGTGCTCTTGTCCCTCCAAGGAGAAGGGGGTGGTGGCCCCTTCCTGGGTTAATCCCCCCCCTCCCTGTGTCACTCTCTCTGACCTCACTTCCCCATGGTGCTTGCAGGTAAAGATGAGAAGCTGGTGACAGTCCGGCTCTACGCCTGTCCCGCCCCCGGTTTCTTTAAGCCCAGCCGCTTGTACCCCAGCAAGAACAACGTCCGGACGGCCTGGTTCCTGGAGCAGGGCTCCCCCGGAGAAGGTAGGGCTGGGGCATGCAGAGCTGCGTTGTGGCTTGGGGTGTGCTGGGACGCCCAGACAGTTCAGCGGAAGCTGGGTGCGTGGCTGATCCTGGGATAGAGGCCATCGGGGGAGGGGAGCAGGATTTCCTGCAGGGTGGGGTCATGGTGGAGCCGGCAGCAGAGAGAGGGAGTGTGTATGTGGGTTTCTCGCTCCCTGCAGGGTCTCTGCACCCATCAGCATTCCCTGCTGAATCCTGTCTGGGGCCTGCTCGGTGCACCCCATAGAGGGGCATCAAGTCACTGGAGGGTCTGCTCTTGCGTTGCACTGTTCCCTTTCCCTGCTTGCTGCAGTCTGGCTAAGACCTCCCCC